ATGTTAGTTCGTCGTGGCTTCTATAATGCACTGCCAGGTCTGGTCTAGAGCGCTAACCTGGCCTCTTGGGTACATTTGCAACAAAAACGGTTGACAGTACGAACAATGAAACAAGACAGACACAGACTAAAAGGTGAATTACAACCAATGCTTTTTTGTGCACAAGGCATTTTATACCTATGCAGGAACGGTGCATATATGTACAATAGACTCACATTGATTTAAACTCTGATAACTCATTCTTTTGGTTAATTCAAACACATTTCAATTTTTTGGTTGGGTCTCTATACTTTCAATGTATTTAAAAGCCTCTTAATTCGAATTCATCATTTGGTTAAATCATACTTTTTGCAGTTCCATAATAGAAAATATCTGCTGCTTTCCCCTTACTATTTAAAACTTTGTGTGCTTACATAATCCTAACAGTCTAAAAATGACAAATAAGTGCCTCAGTATTCAAGGAAAAAGGCTTTGCTAGTAAATAAATGTTGAAACAAAACACATGCATGGTAAACCGTGATGCTTCTCAACTGGTATAGAAAGCTTTGTGCTGAAGGCATATATAGAAAAGAAGCAGTTGGCAATTAATGATTTCTTTAAGATGTCAGATCAACAGCATATAGCCAATAAACTTGTGAACCTTACACCTCTGCTTTTTGTTCATTGGGTGTAGTGAGGGTTTGAAAATGCTTTGAAAACTTTAAATGTGATAAAATCAATGCCTAATCATAATGTGCGGTGTCATCTAGTTGAGATTCATATATCTGAGAACTCCTAATAATTTAAACTTCTTGGTAATTCAAACAAATTTCAGAAGTCCCTTTGAGTTTGAATTGATCAGTCAACTGCATTTTCGTCGTAGTTTTTCGCATTCCTGTACATATATAACTGCCTTGTGCACAAAAAAGTGTTGGTTGAAAGTCAGTGCTCCATTTGTCAGTGTGTTGTGCTATTGTTTCACACAGTTACTTTTTTTTAACCAGATCTGGTAGTAACCTGGTGCGTGCAAAAGCATTCTGAGGCACATGTATTAATGCACTACTTCAAACTTTTACGTGGTGCCTATTCCACATGTGCCTTGTGTCAGTGACCAATTTTTTTTTTTTTCATTTTGTTGCCACAAAAGACAAAATCTTGTCACTTATGTGGCCTGTGACAGGCATCAATAGCTGTAGTGAGGATAGTATACTAAATGCAACATCCTTTTGCTTATGTTGTATGTGACCTCAATTGGTCAACGCTTTTTTTTTTTTTTTTCGAGATACTAAAAAGCTTGCTTCCTTTTACACTAAGGTCAAAAGAAGCTATGTTGACTCATTGAAAAAAAAAAAAAGAGCATATTTCCAGGTAAAGCAATTGGAACTATATTAGACAATTTTTTTGGAAATACTAAATATGTTTTTAGAGAGTGCACTGGTTCTGCAAACAACTTTTGAATTTCAGGAGCTGAATGATGTTTTTTTAATGCTCACACTTTCTAGGCATCTATTTTTGGTTACAGCGCGAAAACGATGAAGACGAAAAACGAAAGAGACACAAATGAGCACTGACTCACAACTGAAAGTTTTATCTGAAGAGCACAAGAACATGAAACAAAGTAAATCAAAATTGTGCACAAGTGTTAAAAAATAATACAAAAAGTCACATAGGGTATCACTTTGCCGATAGAGAGATTTTGTCGAAGCACAGATCTCGGATAACTAGGAAAGTGACAGAGCCTTTCCATGTTAAACGAATGGGTAAAGCATGCGTCAGTGAGGCATCGCTACATCACACAGAAAAAGAGTTCGCATATCTTCTCAGTACATGTGCCGTCAAGTGATACCCTATAACTTTTTATATTCCTTTTTAACACTTCTGCGCAATGTTGATATGCTTTTTTTTCGTGATTTTTTTCTCACATTCCAGTGTTCTTTAAATAAAAGTTTCAGCTGCGTTTGTGTCCCTTCCGTTTTCCAACTGCTGCATCGTTTTCGCGCTGTAACCAAAAATGAATCCATACCAACTAGCCCAACTTCCAATACTATTGCATTCTCTCATCACACTACTACCCACTCCAGAATGCCAAGTCGGTGTTCTATAACAAAATATAATAGACATATAGAACCAGTGCATGTCTATGAACAAAGAGTGTATGTCATACCAGATCTTGCTAAATTTTTCGACGAGTTGCCTATCTGATACTTCAACACAAAAAATATGGCAATGATTTCATGTGAGCAAGCCTGGTTGCTGTGGTACTTCTATACATTTTTAAAGCAAAATGTTTTTTCAGCCTCTTGTGGGATTGAGTATCACATTATTCTGACTTACAAAAAACAGTGAAAATTTTGCAACCTTTGGCAACACCAGACATTACACTGACAAGCCACAGTAGTGGAACAAATGAGACAACTTTGCTTAGTTCTTTTATGGCTTCCTGCATGGTGCATGGCTGCTTTGAAGAGGACTTCGGTGGCATTGTCCCAAACAGAAAGTGTGGACTCAGGCTCTCATGTCATCAAAATTGATTTTTTAATTATTTTATTTATTGAAATCAGCTTCTTTATAGATGTTTTTGTTTAGCCCATACTATGTAAATACGAACCTATTAGTGGATATACTATAAGGAGTGCAACAGCCAAAACAGAATTTCGAACAATATTTGGGGACGCAAAATGTTACTTTTAGAGAACTAAAATCCAAATTTGGAGCAAGTTACGGCAAAAAAACATAGATTCCTTAAACACAAAAGATCAAATTTGGAGCAGTATTAAAAATGCTTACATTTAGGGAAAAAAGATATGTAGAAACCTTTCAACATCACCTAAATTGTGCTGGGTGAACATGAACACTGCTATTACAATAAAAGTAGTATTTTGAACCACCCCGCTATGTAAGCAATAATCCTTAGATAGACTGCAAATTAAGATATGGTTCTGCCAAGCTGGCAACCCTGGAATTCAGGCGATCCATCAAATTGATGAGTAGACATGGCAAAAATTTTTTTAAAAAGCTGACGCAGTTTTTTCTCTAGGTCTGCAGAAATGTCATACACTGCTCCAAATGATTGCCAATAAGCCAGTAACTTTTTTTTATACGTTAGCGACTATACTAGTACTCATAAATATGCAGTGCATACATGCATGAGTAATTGAAAAAAATGTGCAGTGTTTAGTGACTAGTGCTAACAGCCCCTTTCAAATATGACTGCTTTTCTGCAGGGCACCAGTGTACAGCGGTAAAGGTGGCTTAGGCAGCGTTCCGCACGGCTTAAACTAAGGCCGCAAAATTTTCGAATCGCTACACACCCCCACCCCCTGCTTTTTTTTTTCTTTCACAACGATCTTAGGTTTAGGGCAGAAGTTGTCATCTCGCTTGCAAGGTGCGTCCGATTAGATAAAGTAACAACAGCATACGCCCGTTGACCCGGCGCCGGTCATCTATGGCGGGGACGAGGCAACTTCAAGACAGAAAAATGTTTTATGTGCCGTTCCTATAGCAACCAACGTGGTCACTGGCAAGGCCGGCATTCGGAGCACATCGAGTTTGTTCGCGTGTGGTAAAAGCGGCACATGCTTCGAGCTTTAGTTCCTAAAATGCCACAGCTGCATTTGCTGACTAGAGAATTTATGTTTCCTGTGAAGCGTTATTGGCTACGGCATCGCATCTTTGGCTTTAAATCGCGTTGTCCCATCAATTGGTATGGACCAACGTGCACGCAGCATTGTTACTTAATGAGGTTGATCGCATCTCGCGAGTGTCCTGACCTAATGTGTATAATCTTACACCGTGGTTTAGAGTTGAGGTCTGCGCGCTTGGACTGATTGATGATTCAAACTGCGGATGGCCTTGCTCAAGTTAGCGCTACCGCGACAATTTTGGGGCACGACGAACATTTTGGCACAGCGTAGGGCAATTTCATGGTTTTGGCACAGCTCGGTGCAAAAATGGGGAAATGTATTAACTTGGCACAGGTTTTGCGCTCCTGTATATGCAAAACACCAGATTTCAACATCACAAAGTACAGCAGACTTGCAGTAAATAGAAATCTGATAAACAGACTGCTGCTTAAATAAAACAAGTGCATATTACAAGATGGGTTTTGTTCTTTCACTCTGCACCCCTGGTCATCTCTCAGTAAGTGGAACCCCTGGTAAATGGAACATATTTTTCTGGCCCCTTCAAGTTCCATTTATTGTGAGTCTACTAATATAGTGCTAATTTAATTGGTTTTATTACATCATGCTTTTACTGAACATATAAATCATTTAGGTATATTTCTGCATAATTAAAAGCTGGTTGTGACCAGCAGGTATATGCATCTTCCTAATGTAGCCTGTTGGCACTGGCTCTCTATGATAAAAAGTACATATAAAAATGAAAAACCTAATGGTAAAACTACTGCAGTGATTTCTAATTACTTTTTACAAATATAGTCATGTACTTTAAAGGGTCATAAAACACTGTTCAGTCTCTGGGCTAGCATATTTTTGAGACAAGATCATTTAAATTTACACAGCATTTCATAGAAAGCCTACTTTTGCCAACAACGAAATAAAGTACCTGTTGGCACTGGCTCTCTATGATAAAAAGTACATATAAAAATGAAAAACCTAATGGTAAAACTACTGCAGTGATTTCTAATTAGTTTTTACAAATATAGTCATGTACTTTAAAGGGTCATAAAACACTGTTCAGTCTCTGGGCTTGCATATTTTTGAGACAAGATCATTTAAATTTACACAGCATTTCATAGAAAGCCTACTTTTGCCAACAACGAAATAAACAAGTGCTTATACTATGTGTCATCAAATCCATCAAAAGCTGGACGTACAAAACTTCAAAACTTGCATAGCAGTAATACAATGCATATGTTTTGGTATCAGTATTCTTTATGGACTTACACTTGAATATGCACCCCCAAAATTTTTAGGTGCTAGAACTCATTCATCTTGAGGCTATTTAGCTATAAACGCAAGCTCAAGGGTTTACACACTTATAAAGCAAGTATTGCTTACTTTGGATATGGATTTGGCACATTGAACCGCCTGCACAGAAGGTCAACTGGGTGCCATTCAAATTCGTCATGTGTCAGTTTTCCAAACATGCCTAATTGAGCTGCTTTGGCTGCATCTGGAGTTTCTTCCTGCATGAAATAGCATAAAATGAATGATAAATACAAGGGTAAAGAATGCCAGGCATATACTATGAGAACTCTAGAATGCAGTGGCAAGCACACTGATGCCTATCTATACGAAATAATTTTGTGAAAATTTGATGAAAATTTCTTGACACTTGAGTAGGATTGCTTTAAACAAGTTCAACTGTCAAATTTTTGCTGGAGTAGCTGATGGCAATTGACGCCTGCTTGCTCCAGATTTTGAAGGAACTAAATGGCAGTGAGGCTAGGGCAGTATCTTGGTGTGTGGTGTGCATACTGCTAGCTGCATTAAGTCTGTAACTAGTACATTCAATCGTTGTTACCGATAAGATGAACTGCACAGGGTGTCGGTTGCTGTGAAAAGTACTATTAACTAATAGAATAGAATGAATGGGAGCAATGCATTTTATAAGGTCCTATTTCTTTTTCTAAAACATGCCTATGAAAACTGAGCTAAAGAGCCTAGAAGTATCTATCACATGTAAACTAAAGGATTAGCTGTGTTCCAACATGGTCAAACTACATGCAGTGCAAGTGGTGATACTCATTATAAGAATAAACTTGAAAAAATTGTCAGAAAACTCACAAAATGTGCAATATGAAAAAATTGCAAGAAGTTGCAATATGAAAGAGCAAGTTTTTAGCTACCTGAAAGCAACATGAAGTTATTATAAAAGCTCACACAAGTTCTTAAAACCTTTTTTTTCTGTACCTATCTCCACCCTCCACGTTAAGGGGGAACGAGGGTCTTAAAAATTTTTTTTATTTATTATCCTACTGCCATGAAAATTACCATGAATGCATACCATTGAATGGAGATTTAAAATCTGCAAACAGATTTCAAATATCTCATTTTAAAAAAATAATGACAAATTTCCCCATTACATTTAGGTAATTTCTAATGGGCTGTTGTAGTAACTGTCAACAAAGAAACGTTAGTTTTTAAAACTACATGCTACCTCTAAAAGGTTCGTCCCACTGGCTAAAGCAAACTAGATGTCATAATGGCTATTTCTTTGATCAGAAATAATTTTTAAACTTGGAAGGTGAAAATGAGCTTCCAGTAATTAGCTAGTATTAATCATATAATTGTGGTTCTATCAAGGTTGAGAGAAAAATAAAAGCTTTAGCCTGTAGTTCAAGTGCTGCGGAAAAGAATGATACCAGGTTTGTTTAGATATCTTCACAAGAACTTGCTCAAAACTTCTGTAAGGCAGATTCACTTCACAAAAATAGCGATGCCGAGAAAATTACGTTTCCAGTTTTAAAACATTTGTAATTTCATATATTGGGCCTTTAACAAGAAGAAATGATAAATTGCCACTTTTGGAAGTCAGTATCTTTTACAATTTTGTGCTATTTTAAGACCCTCGTCTCCCCTCAAAGTCAAATATTTTTGTTTTTAAGTAGCACTCTGAGAACTGGACAATGTACTTAGCTGAACTAAAAGAGGACAAGATTGATTATAACAAACAACGCACCACTCTGTCAATAGGTATATCAATTGTGTCATCATCTTTGAGTGTTCTGGTGGAGACAAACCGAGAACCAAGGCCCTGGCTTGGCTGGCAGATCATAGCTGCCCTTTGGAACTCCTTGCGTTCTCTCTCCTTTTCCCACTCTGTCATGATGACTGGCTGCATGGCTGAAAACACCTCTGCCGAAAATTAAAAGAACGGTGTGAAATGTACATGTCAACACCAACAGGTGGGACAGCTTTCGTGAGGCTACAGCTGGGCAACCCACAAAGCTTTATTTTATCATACCCTCTACATAAACACATGCAAATTTTTCACAAGCACGAAATAGAAATGCAATGCCAAAAGTGCAGTGTGCCCTCCAATTTTCAGTCTTCAAACAAGAAATGCAATACACTCAAACCTCGATATAACGAAACCGGATGTAACGAAATATCGGTTATAACGAAGTAAGCTAAAAATATTTTTGCAATAGATATAGTGTTAAAAGTAAACCTTTATAACAAAGTTTTGGATATAACCAACTTATTTCGTGTAAGATGCAGCTTTGTTATAACGCGGTTTGCATGTACCTTTGTTTTTTTTTTTTTCAAACCAGATTTTTTTAATGACGAAAAAATTGCAATTTCTTACCACTTATAAAAAGAAACTGTATTTCATTTGAGCCCAACCGTATGGTGCAAGGGCATAGGCAGACAGTTTTCTCGCGATGGTACCTCCTTGATTTGAAGTTGGGGCCGGGCAGGGAGATGTGGTCAAGTGTCATTTTGTGCTCAGCATACCATAGTAGCAACAACAACAACAACAAGAAAGCAGGGAGGGAGGGACATGAGTGCAATACTTGTGATTGTTATCACTGTTCAACATCTCCTTCCCACTAACACCTACCCTGTGATTTCAGGTTCCATCCACATAATCGAAACAAATATAATTAATGCTCTGACAACCCTGGCAGACAGAAGATTTCAGGGTAGGATGTGAATGTCACCTAGCTTCAAGTTTCAATTTCACTCCTAATTTTAATGTATATGAGATGTATTCTAGCAAATTGTTAGAGAAAATAGGTGCATAGGCATATCAGCTGAAAGCGCAAGCCCCCCCCCCCCCCCTTCCAATGAGAAAAGTTGAGGGGGGGTTGAGCTTCCCCACTTTTCACAGCTAGTGGTCTCAGTCGGCTGCATGCTGCGGAAAACAACAACTAAGGCAAAATTTTCCTTCAGCACTAGTTATGACTCAATTATATTGTTAAGAGAAAAAGAAAGTATTACGAGGCAAAGGTACATTGTAGTGACATTTTTTTCAATATTTCAGCAATGACGATTTTCCTTGAAGGCTTTTGCAACGCTATCCGCTCTGTGCAGCAGCACTGCAGAGTAGGCTAGCGCTGAATAGGTGGCCTATTTATTACACCACTCGTTCATGTTTTTATTTTACTGCAACAGGCTGATGCAGTTATAGATGGGAATGAACACACTCTTTATGGACCGGTCAAAACATTTGCTGCTTCAGCAAAATCATTTTCTTTCATCAAAAAGAATTACCATCACCGCTGTTCTGTCAAAGCTGCTGTGAGCACATGATTGTGACTAATCTTTCTAAATATTTTAGTTTAGCCGAACTGGAAGCGCCAAAAAAGGTTTCCACTTTAATCTCCGGTAAATATGATCAGCCTTGCTTATGGCAACTTGGAGTGACGGAGGCAGCTTGCAAAGCGGCGACAAATAAAGCAGTGGACTAGAGCTCAGTGTGAAGCTAAAATAAGTAAATAGAAGTGCTCAAAATACCTTTGGCTCCTCAAGGAGTGCTTTACACGTAAAAACTGCATTCTTTGTGAGCTGTTTTTAGTCATTAAAATTTCATTTAATAATAGAATATTTAGTGTTGAGGAGGAAACCATCAACATAATTGTATTCATGCAGAAAGTTGTGAGATAAAGCATAAAAAGTATCACGTGTAATAATATTACATGCATCATACATGACAAACATATACATGTTGTAACAGTGCATGCTGCTTAAAAGTAACTGCCCTTTTTTTACGCTATTGAGCAAGTGCTGTGTGTATAATAAATGACATGAAAGTGCGAGCACGTTGAAGAAGTTGTCTCTCTCCTTTATATATATATATATATATATATATATATATATATATATATATATATATATATATACACACACACACACACACACACACTGGCTGACAAGTGCAGTAGGTCAGCCCCCCCCCCCCCCCCCCTTACTCACGAAAGAGTTGTTACACTACTAGATAGGTGCTAAAATCAAGTATGGTAAGCTCATTGTGCCTAAGATTTTCTTCCTCATGGCAGACAAAATGAGAAGCTTCTTTTACATGAAGTGAAAGCTCACTCCAAGATTACTATGGTATGGCAAAGAAACAGGACATAAGGACAGCATGCAAAAAAAATACACAAGCACTACTGTGTCTTTGTGTACTTTTCTTGTGTGCTGTTTCCTTACATTACCAAAGTAATAAAATATATGCAATAACAGCAAGCCCACTTTACACTGCGAGATTTAGGTCTAAGAAGTTATAACTTGAGTTCGTCATATGGGCTTATTACTCAAGGCAAATTAAAGTGTTCAGATGCAACACATCTCACAATGTGGATCTCAGGAGAGAAAAAACTCAAATTCGCCATTACATACACCACAGCCTATGACTGAAGTTGCTTTTAATTAACATGGGGATTTAAAAGGCACTATACCTTTCAACTATAAAAGAGATCTTTATTAGTTTTCTTAATGCTATTCCTTTTTGCTAGTTTTGGGCAAGTATACTTACCACTAACATACCTAAGGAATGATTACCTATGCAGAGCAGCTGACACTACTTGAAAAGAATGCAGAGCATGATGAAACAAGTCCGCTATACTCGGCGCCACCACTTTTCTTGACAGCACTGTGGAAGCTACAGAACCGAAGCGCATGCACTGTACCGAGCCAAAAATAGTGCTTAGGTTAATTGACAATTTTCTCATTTTGCCTTGCTGAAATAAACGCTACCTTATTAACTATGACTCGTACAGTTGTGGCAAATTGTACAGTTACTGTACTTTTTGCAAGAATGCCTTATTTTTTTTCTATTTCTTAGACACCACTACCTTTTCAGCATGCCCGTTTTCCAAAGTACCCATGAATCAGATATTGCTGAGCTTACAGAAACTTGGTTAAGCGATGACATATCTGATAGCGAATTTGTTCAGAAAAACTACATGTGCTTTCGTAAAGATCGACAAAGAAGAGGAGGAGGGGTTGCTATATTATTTAGGGCACCCTTAAAGCTTGTAAGAATGCCTGAAATTTCAGGAGTTGAATGCATTTTTTGCACTACATATCTTAACAAATGAGGTACGTTCTCGGAGCTATTTATAGGCCACCTGACTCCTCTGTCTCAGTTCTTGAAAATCTTGATGATTACATGTCCTGTCATATAAAACCAGCAGACAGATTAATTCTCGGAGGTGATTTCAATTTTCCGAATAACAATTGAAACGCTTTCTCTACGCAGTCTTCTGATCGAAGCGACACAAAAATGCTTGACATAGCTTTTAATTACGATTTGCTACAGATTGTGTCTCAACCTACTAGAATTCAACGTGCAATTTCAATCGCAGATCTCTTTTTTGTTAGTGGTACTGTTAAAAATGATGTATTGTGTGATGTTGTACCGGGAATATCTGATCATGAAGTTGTGATTTTAACTTTAACTGATGCTTTCTATGATCAGTTCACTGTCAATCACCAGTACCTGAACTTTTCTCGTGCTGATGATGAGTCAACCATTGACTTTTTGGACCTCTCCTTTAATGCTTTTTCAGAAAACATGAGCAATATAACCGATCTATGGCTAGCTTTCAAAAATGTTGTTAAGAAATGTATAGTACGTTATGTGCCACTAGTAACTGAAAAATCACCCGGTAAAAATGCTTGGATCACCTGAAAAACTCTCCAGCTACATAGCACACTTAGGAGACTGAAAAATAAGAAGGCCAGAAATCTGTTTTGCTATTCACTAGATAATTCTATTGCTACATTAGATACAAAACTGAAGTTACAAACTCGGGAGGATACAGCAAAATACTATGGTGTATCACTTCCCTCTTTTATTAAGGCATCACCTGAAAAGTTTTGGAGATCGATTAAGCCAAGTTCATGTAGCACTACCTCGTTTTCACTAAATGGGCACATCATTACTGATGACACAGCTGTGTCTGCTGCTTTCAACAAACACTTTAGATCTGTATTTACAACAGATAATGGTTTTCTTCCAATGTTCAATATGTCTTTGCCACCTATGCCTGATGTGAGAATCACTGAGCACGGTATTTTAAACCTTCTTATTAACGTAGATGTTGAAAAATCCCCTGGCCCAGACAATATCCCAAACGGCTTCTTAAAAAGATATGCAGAGTGGTGTACGAAGTATTTACTCGTATTGTTAAAAAAATCTCTTGCTGACGGTTCGTAGCCGGAGGACTGGAAAACTGCGAGAATCAAATCACTCTTTAAACCTGGTGATAAATCCAACATCGCAAATTATCGGCCCATTTCACTGACATCTACTTCATGAAATATTTTTGAGCACATAATTTGTAACATATAGTTGAATTTCTTGAAAAGTATAAAGTTTTAACAGATGCACAGACGTGGGTATTTTACAAGTATACAATTAGTCGGAATTAGGCATGATTTTGCTGAAGGTATAAATAAAGGATATAAGACAGACACTATATACATGGATTTTAGTAAGGTATTTGATAAAGTATTGATAAATAAATTACTTCACAACTAGGTTTTATTATAACAAATAATACTCTACTAGCATGGATTAGAGCTTACCTGATGAACCGTTGCCAATACGTTTCGCTAAATGACACCTGCTCAAGTCGAGTTGATGTTGTTTCTGGTGTATCTCAGGCGTCCGTGCTTGGGCCTTTATTATTTTTAGTATTTATAAATGACACCACCCCTGATATTAATGTTAAGATTAAACTATATGCAGACGACTGCGTGATTTATGAAACAGTTGGGTCAATTGAGGATCAGAAAATATTAAATGAAAACTTTCAAAGAATCGTATCATGATGTGATCAGTGGCAAATGACTATTAATTACGACAAGACGGTCTTGATCCGAATAACCCCCCCAAAAAAAAACGC